GAGTCGGTTTGATAAAATTCATTAATTTTTTTGAGTGGCTATTTACAAGCACTGCGATTACGTTATCAAAGTCTTTTAATGTTTTAATTAGAATTTTTAACAAATAGATAACAGTTAATTAAATTATACTTTTTGTACTATGTGAGAAAAATATGACACTGACGAATATATTTTCTTTATTTCTTTCTACTTTAATATACTTTAAAGTTCGTCTTTTTCTACTTATTTTTGATTTAGTAATTATTGTAGATTGAAGCTATTTGTTAATGTAAATTATCAAAAAATCAAATACTGAAAGAAAAATGATAATTGTGAACTGTACGATTTTTTACTATACAGATTATGTTTGAACGAATCGCATACATATATATTTACTCTTTTTGATAACTAGAGCAAAAAACGTGGATTTAGAATCATACAGTCATCTAAAAACGGCATTCAGCAACAGTGATGCAAACTTTCCCTTTAACAAGGCTCAGAACTCCAACGATTCCATTGAGTTCCGTAGTACCTCGTACTGTGATGATTTACAACCAAGTTGGCGTTCTAACTACGAAGGCAATTATCAAAACTGGAATGCTGAATGCATCTGCTCCCATGACCTCCTCTCTTGGGCTTATCAAGTAGCTCATGGCATGGAATATCTATCGAGGAGAAACGTAAGAATATTTATACAAAACAACTACTCGTACATACTTTGTCTTTTACTTCACTAATGTTTCTACGTGTACAGATTTTACATTGTGATTTGGCTGCCAGAAATATTTTGCTATCTACAAATAACATCGTCAAGATTTGTGACTTTGGTTTGGCCCAGACGTTGTACAAAGACATCAATTATACGAGGCTACACGATGTAAAATTGCCGTTCAAGTGGATGGCCATCGAATCCCTCAGGGACGGAGTATTTTCGACTAAATCCGACATTTGGTCATTTGGTATTGTGATCTGGGAGTTTTTTACTCTTGCAGAGACACCATACTTAGGCATGCAAGCCTCAGTAGTATATCAAAAACTCATTAACGGATACAGGATGGGCCAACCAAGATATGCAACAAACTATCTGTTAGTGAAAAAAAGCTCTTTTATGTAAATAGCTTATCTTTCGAATTATTAATATGTTTATTTATATATTTCTCAGTTACAATATCATGCTCAACTGCTGGGAAGACGAGCCAACTTTAAGACCATCATTCACAAAACTATCCAAAAATATTGGTATGCTTTTAGATAAAAGTACGAGAGTGCACTTTGAGAAACTGTACCAAGAGTATGAGAACATTAATAAGGAAGTGGACTTAAAAAGAGAAAATGATTATTCGACAAATATGTCTTCACCAGATAAGGTAGCACTTGTTCTGCCTCAACAGAACTATGAAAATCGATTGCTGCAGGTTGAAAACCCTATATACTTGTGTTTGAACAATAATGACAGGCTTTTAGCTGACACACCAAGAACGTTTGATAACTGTTTATGACATAATCTTACATGTATGTTTTAAAGAGTTACTTTTAAAAACTGTATAAAAATTCTGTAATGAACTAATATGATATCGTTAATAAGATGGAATGCCACTTACAAGAAAAATGGTATTTGATCCACAGTCAATTTTAAAATTTTATTTCTTAGACTACATTAAAATAAGACAAAATGTCACCAGCAGCTTATTAAATAAAAGTTTGCAGAGTTATAAAAAAACTACAACTTTATAATTCCAATTTTGTTTTACTATTCCTAGATTTATGAGCAATTTCGTAACGAACTGAAGTTTTAAATAAAAATTTGTTCAATATAGTTTTATTTAATAGTATATTACGTACCTAGGCCAGAAAGTGGGGCTATTACTGTCCACGCTATATTATCGGCCGAGCCGAAGGCGAGGCCGGTAATGCGCGGTCAGATGTAGCCCCACTTTTTGGCCGTGGTACGTATACTTTTTTTCCTTACACCTCCGCAGAAAGTTCGTCACCACGGTTTTAGTTTTGTTAAAAATGAAGGTTTAAAGATCCAGTCAAAGATTTAGTGCATTATGCATTGTTGTTGATTGATCGGTCGCTCGAACAATACCACTTTAATGCACGTAGATGTGTGTACATGTGTATAGGTATATCTGCATATATAGCACTTATACGCTACCGATGACTGAGGAAAGGAAAAGGGAGGAGGGAGCTCTACGCTCGCCGAGACTGTAGTATATTATATAGAAACAGATTGGGCCGGGGAATTGTGCAGATTGGTCGTGCTGGCAATTTAATTTTGTGTTGTGTACTCTGTTCATATGAAATTAATACATTTATATATACATGTAAATTGTGCAATATATATATATATATATACAATAATTTATGTAAATAAATATCCAATGATTTTCTGTGTTGTATAAACTATAAAGGTTATAACTCCGTTAGCCGTAT